AAAAGTACTTTTATGCTTTTATAAAAGTGTTTTATGCTTTCATAAAAGTACTTTTATAAAAGTGCTTTCATGTAAAAGTACTTTTGTAAAAGTGCTTTTATGATTTCATAAAAGCACTTTCATGTAAAAGTACTTTTGTAAAAGTGCTTTTATGATTTCATAAAAGCGCTTTCGTATAAAAGTACTTTTATGCTTTCATAAAAGTTCTTTCNGCTTTTATGATTTCATAAAAGCGCTTTCGTATAAAAGTACTTTTATGCTTTCATAAAAGTTCTTTCATGTAAAAGTACTTTTGTAAAAGTGCTTTCATATAAGTACTTTTATAAAAGTGCTTTCATAGAAATACTTTATAAAAGTGCTTTCATAGAAGTACTTTTATAAAAGTGCTTTTATGCTTTCATAAAAGTGTTTTCATAAAACTATTTCAATAAAGTGTTTTTGTGTGTAAAAGTGCTTTTGTATGAGTAATTTTTTAAAAGTACTTTTATAAAATTCTTTCACATTAGTGCTTTCGTGTAAAAGTACTTTTATAAAAGTGCTTTCGTAAAAGTCATTTTCATAAAATTACTTTATAAAATTGTTTTTGTACAAGTGTTCTTGTGTGAAATTGCATGTGAGCATGAAAGTTAATAAAATATGTTTTATTTCACTTTTAATCTCAAAATGAAATGTGGCATGTGGTTTGGAATTCTAATGAGATATAGACGTGTTAGGATGTCTAAGTTCAAGTCAATTCAACTATTATTAGGTGAGTATAGATAAAACTGGCTTTGACCCAACCCATCCTGACCCTAATGGGTACCCTCAACCCAACCCACCCTGGCCCTTTACCATTGACCCTAATGGATTACTTGACCCATATTGACCCACTAATAAATTGGGTGGGTCCCAAGGTGGGTGAGTCAATTCGGTTGGGGTCAAGATTGCCAGTCCTAGGGCAAATTATATGAATTCTTTCACTATTTGATTCATAAAGAATATTTAGAATCCATGACTATAAGAGTTTGACAAAAGTTTTAATATCAGACTAACCTGATGCAACCCTCCTCTTATATGGTGTTAGTACCATTGGTGTAAGATAAACTCACACTTAAGACTTTATATACTTATAACTAGAATCCCTTTAGACCTTTTGATATATAATTATTCAACCTTTTTAAGCACAATATTTTATTTTCTACCTCCTGTTCTCACATAAATTTTTTTATAAACCAAACATAGTGATAAATATATTCATTTAAGAACAAGTTATATTTCATCATCTTTCTCATTTTCTGTCACCAACCAAACATAGCCATACAAAATATTACTTATAAGCTTCTCATTGAAGGTAGGAAACAACCTTTTTGTTTGTTTTGTTTTGTTTCACCGGTTAACTTTCTCTATATGGATTTGTTATTTCATGTTTTGTTTTATTTCTTTATTTATTTTTGTGGTAAATAGTTTCTTTATCTTTTTGGTAAATTTGTTTTGTTTTAGGGTAAATTACAAAGACCCCCTAGTATGGGGTCAATGATAATTTCCCCATGACTGCCTTTTGAGACAAACCCCGAACTTTCACTTTGCGACAAATTCCCCATGGTCATTTGGTTAGATGACATAATGCATTAAATCATCAAAGTATCCACATGAGCTTTCCTTATTTTTGTTTCATCATACTTTTCTCTTAAACCCTAATTGACCCAAAAATTATGGATGAACATTTCTACCCTACCCAATGGGTACCCACCTCAATGGAGTAGGTCTTTTGCTTGAAAAACATATGTTGGGGCAGGTCTTTTGCTTGACAAATTCCCCATGATATTGTTGGGAGGCATGTGAACTTATGTATTAGGCATTGAATTTAATAATATTTTGAAATTTATGTCAAGGATAATTGATAGTTTATTGTTTTCTTTGTGTTTTAATAAAATAATCAGAAAATTTGATGATTGTTCATGTTACTTTACTTGTTTATTGCTTATATATAATGGGAAATAATAAGAAATTAGATGCACGTTTTAGACCCAACCTACCAACTTGATCCACCCCATCCTCAAATGCATGGAAGGTAGAGTTGAGGACGGTTTTGTATTTCCGTGTGTAAGGAGGCCTTGGATTTTGAAAATCCAACCCACTATGGATTTTGGGGACGGTATGGTCTAGAATTTACAAAACCCTCCCAAACCTTTATTGTTGCCATCATTACCAAAAATATCTCCATGTCTCCAAAAGAAAGTTGCAAAAATAACAAGAATCATTTAAAGACATAGAAAAACAAGTTTCTTTAAAATTTTGTTTCGTGTCACTGATGTGAATGTTTCTCTTGATCTTAAAATATAAAAATTATCCTCTCGTTCCTTTTTTTGTAAGAATCCACTCATTTCTATGATAAATTAAGAACAATCAAATAAAACCTTAAATTTATATCTATCATAAAGAAAACTCTTCCATTTCATTTGAATATTGACTCTGCATAGAAATATGCAAGTTCGAGGGGTATTTGTCATAAAGTGAAAGTTCCGGGGGGTATTTATCATAAATGAAAGTTTAGGGGGTAATTGTCACTAACCCCATAGTATAGGGCGCTTTTATCACAATGAAAGTTAAGGGGTAATTGTCACTTACTCCATAATACATTAAAAATATGTTAAAACTAGGGGTGTCCATGATTAAGTTAACTAAACCATGGGCAATTTTTGAAACCAGATAGGTACTACTAGGCTTTGAAAATATTTGAACCAAATCAACCGACTAACCAATTGACTAGTTTCTATTTTGATTAATTATATTCTTCAATTTATTGGTTTTTCATATTTATAATGTATATTGTATAACATATCATATAATATATTATATATTATAAATGAACAATTATACATAATATCTAGATGAAAACCAATTTGGTCCTTTGTTTTTTCAAAAATACCATATTGAATCAATTAGTTCAATTGACTGGATTATTTTGTTCAATCTTCTTAGTACAGATTGATTTTTTTTATAAGCATCCCTAGTTAAAACCAAAACATTTGGATTCAGGATATTTTCTATAAAAAAAATAATTTAGGATCTTTTGGACATTTGGCAAATCTATGATTTGCTCCCCTTCACTCATTTTTGTTAGTTTTTTTAATATATTGTACTAAATCTCATCACCGGGGATTGTAATAGATTCCCCCCACGTTTATAGATGTACAAATGATAAGAATTTATGAGGTTGAGTAATCTATGTAAACCTCGTATTATTTTTAGGAATGGTAACAAGCCAGGGTGAGGTTAGGTTTTGCCTGCCCTGTCCCTAATCTTTAACTAAAATGCCCTGCCCTTGTTCCTGAACTCAAATGTCCCGCATTGTCCTTGCCCCGAACCTCACGGGGCTAGAAATCCTAATTAGCATCCCTCTTTGAATTGGGAATCTTCCCCCCCTTAACATTGCCCGAACTGTATGATTGCATTATGAATTATGAGGTGGACTGAACTCAAATTACCCTTTTTTGGGTAAATGGTTGAAACCTCCCCTTAAGTTTAGCAATTGCAATCACCTCCCTTAAACTTTATAACACAGTTGCAAGTAGACCCCCTCTGGTAGAATCTTCTAAAAAATGCATGGAAATGTCTAAAATATCTATGCAATTACTATTGCAGTTTAACGTTTGAGTGATTGATATTGAAGGGCAAATTCGAAATATAAAATCAATTTCAAAAAAGAGATTGGAAGGATTTGGGATATTGATTTATATGAAGAGAAAATTTGAAAAACAAACATTTTTTTTAAAGTAATTGCATGAATATTTTGGATATTTTCATGCATTTTTTTAAGAAAATTCTACGAGAGGGATCTACTTACAACTATATCTGAAAGTTAAAAGGAGGTAATTACAATTACCAAAGTTAAAGAAATGTTTCAGCAATAAACAGAAACTTCAGGAGATGTTTAATTAATATTTTTTGGGTAAATTACAAAGACCCCCCTGTACTTTGTTTTGCAACAAAGACCCCCTTGTACTATGACCATGAGAAAAAGACCCCCTTGACCGTTAAGCTAGATGACAGAATGCGTTAAATTACCAAAAATACCCCATTAAACTTTTTTATTTTTTCTTTTTGCCCTTTTTTCTCTTAAAACCTATTTAACCTATTCTTTTTCCCTTTATTCTCTTCTTTTCCCCTCCCTCACCATCCTTTCTCGTTTTTTCTCCCTCCCACCACCATGGGTTTTACTTCTCGAGGAGGTTCTCCTCCAGCATCAACAAGGCAAAACTCCTCTACCTTGGCCCATAACCTAGAACGCCCAGAAGCTCTCCACGAAATGATTTCATATTGTCTTTAGATTTCTAGAAGTTGACGTTATCATGAGAGAGAAATTTTGAAATAATTGCATTACTTTGTGGTTATGATTATAGTCTTTTCGTACAGTTACTCTATAAATAATTTCATAGTCTAGAAATAGACTGACATCATTTGTGGTTTTGTCTTGAAATAGTTTCATTACTCTATAAATATTTTCATAGTCCCTTTACAGTTAACATCTAGCAGGAACGTCAACATTAACTGGGGTTTATGAGTTGAGACTTTTTGCACCAAGTTGCCCCTAACCACTTTTGCATTATCAATCTCGCGGAGAGCTTCCAGATGGTGAAATTTCCGGGTGGTGGAATTTCATGGAGGTTCTCCTCTAGTGGTAGGGCACTCCTGGAACGTCCAAAACTTATTGTGTTGCAATTTCATGGTGGTGGAAGTTATTTATCCGACTGCATTTGAGGACGGGTTGAAAGTTTTGAACTAGTTAGAGAAGCAGGCAAATGGAGAGAGAGAGAGATCGGGATCTAAAGAAAGTAGTATCGGAAGGTCAGGAAAGATGAACAATGTTTTTCTCATGTAGTTATTACAAGAGCAGTATGAGGATTAAAAAATATTGTAACGGCATTTTTGGACGGCAAACTAACGGAAGGGGGCCTTTCTCTCACAGTCATAGTATAGGGGGTCTTTGTCGCAAAAGAATGTACAGGGGGGGTCTTTGCTTCCCTGTATGGATTTGCAGAAAAGTCACTTGAGATCCGCAAATCGTAAGGTAAACCATTGTTATGGTCGACTCGTGAAACTGAAGCTCACTGTTTGTATACCCAACGTCCCAACCCCACCAGGATTCAGGAGAGATTTTCCTGAAAAAGTAGCGCTTCGTGAAACAAAACTCAAATTTCTATCGTCAGCGTGCTTTCTTCTGATACTTCTTGCAGAAATGAGCAGCCAAACCGAAGCTGAAGATCGAGATTTAATGGCGAAAGCTGCCAAGGCTACTGAAGATCTCTACTACTCGAGAAATACATATTTTCCTGCTGACCTAGAAGAGAAAATGTCGAGATTACAAAGCGAAGCAGATCTCGCTCTCAAACTTCTTGACTCGATTCCATTAGGTAACCTTCAAGTCTAAAGTAACCATTTCGGATCATTGTTCAGTTTTACTCCTGCTTAGCCATTTCTCATTAGATTTTGAGTATTTAGCCATAGAATGATAGAAACATTAATTAGAAATACGAGTTCGTTGCTTGTTCAGATGATTGAGGCTGTTGTTGTTGCGCCTTACAAACAACTTATTGTAACCTTACCGATTACAGAACCCACTTTGGGTTTGTGGGCAGTGCAAGCAAGTGCTGTTAATGTAACGGTTAAAGAACCACCTTAAGGTTTATGGGTTTGCTCCTATTTTAGTTTGGGTGAGCAAATGTCACCCACCCCATTGCTTTGTTTTTTTTTCCCTGTTATATTTGTGTTCCCATCGTGTCACTTTAGGTCTTATTTTCAGTGTTTGCACCAACACACTGAAATTTTGTCATTGAAGTCAAGAAAATTGAGGTTAGTTTTCTGAGTGTTGGCATGAAATTTATGTACTTTAGGGACCATAGATAGATCATTATGACCAAGGTATCATCCAAGGAATTTCATCCCTTTCACGGTAAGTTGCGCATTCAGCTTCTTATGTGTTTAAATTCCTTCACTTTCATTTTTCTGGTAGATTGTTCTTGGGAATTAGAAATGGAGGACGCTTTGCACTTCTAGTTTTATTTTATTTTATTTGTAATCATTATTATCTATTTTCTTTATTCTTTATTTGGTTTCCACTTTCACTCTTGAATACTTTGAGTTGTGCATCACTTAGGGGGCAATTGTCAGCTGAGTCATTATATTCTGTAATGAGTTCATACTTTTTGGGGTGAATGAATGGAAGGGCACCATGAGGATCATCACTTTATTGAAATGCCTGGTAAGCAGATGCTTGATTCGGTTCTCATTGCTAATGAATTAATTCACTCAAGAAGAAGAGAGGGTGTTCCAGGTTTAATTTGGAAATTAGATATAGAGAAAGCTTATGATCATGTTAATTGGAGGTGTTTGGATTCCGTTCTACATCATATGAACTTTGGGCAGAAATGGAGGAATTGGATTAAGGTTTGTACAACACTCCTAAATTCTCAGTTTTGATTAATGGCCAGTCAGCTGGCTTCTTTGAAAGTTCTAGAGGGCTGAGGCAGGGAGATCCTCTGTCCCCTCTGCTGTTTATCTGTGTAATGGAAATCCTTACCCTTTTCTGTAAAAGGGTTGCTGAAGATGGCAGTTGGGAAGGCTTTGCAATTTGTCAGGGGGGAGAAAAGGTTAATCTTCTTCAGTTTGCTGATGACACATTGTGTTTTATGGATGCTTCCCCATCCCAGTTGGACCTCATGCTTGGTGTTTTAATTTGGTTTGAAGTGGTGTTTGGGCTTAAGGTGAACTTGAACAAAAGTTCTATCATTCCGGTGGGGCAGGTTTATAATTAAGAGGAGTGTGCTGATGTCTTGGCCTGTAAGACTGATTTTCTTCCTGTAAAGTACTTGGGTCTCCCTTTGGGGGCAAATTGGCTCTCTCCCTCGATTTGGGATCCAGTCATTGAGAGAATGGAGAGGAAATTATTTTCTTGGAAGGCGAAGTATCTCTCTTTTGGAGGGAGGGTAACCTTGATCAAAAGCACTCTCTCTAATTTTTTCCTATTTTTGGAGAAGGGATTTCTGTGAATGTTGGTAAAGGTGATAGAACAAAATTTTGGAGTGACGAGTGGTGTTCAGAAGGCCTTCTTGCTGTTTCATTCCCTCACATATTCGGTTGTGCAGTGAATCATGAGGCTACTGTGGCTGACTACTTATATCTGGAGGAAGTTCAGTTTCTTGGTCCCCTCTTTTAAGGAGGAACTTGTTTGATTGGGAGTTGGAAGAATACTTGGAACTGATGAAGACCCTCTTTAACCAGAAGATTGATGGATTGGGGGAGGATGAGTGGTACTGGAAGTGGAAGCCGGATGGGATCTTTACTGTGAAGTCCATGATTGATAAATTATGTAGTGAGGGGCATGCTGATTTCCCAGCTGCTCTGATTTGGAATCCGATGAGCCCTTCTAAAGCTAACTTTCTAGTGTGGACGATGACTCTGGACAAGTGTCTTTCAAGATCAAATCTGCTGAGAAGATGCATTCCAATTATGGATCCAAATTGTGTTCTTTGTGGGAAGGATGCAGAAACTACAGATCACTTATGTCTTCATTGTCCGTTCTCTCTTCAAATCTGGATGCATTTTTTCCAAGCTTTGGGTGCTAAGTGGGTCATGCCGAGATTAGATAAGGACCTCCTCTGTTGTTGGAAGCTGAAGGGTCTGAATAAGAAGGGAAGACTTATGTGGAACAATCCCAGCTGCCGTGTTGTGGTCCATTTGGACTGAAAGGAATGGTAGAATTTTTTGTAATAGGTCAAAGGATTTGGATGATGTAATTCAGAAAGCTGTGGGTAAGCTGATTTCTTGGGTTTCCATTTCTGGGGAGTTCAGGAATATTAGCTTGTCTGTATTATTTCAATCTTGTTCCTGGTGGAAGTTGTAATCTTGGCTGCTTTTTAGACTGCCTTTTTGGGCCTGAATTGCAGTTTGTTTGTGTTGAATAAATTTACATTACCTTTTCCAAAAAAAAGTGGGAAATTAGAATTAGGTTAAGTTTTAGGAGGATGCTTGGACCGGAAAGTCCATGAGGTAAATCTAAGAAGATGAGCAAATAAGGTTATGGATTTATTAGCCAGAGGAAGTGTAGACAGAACTTATCTGTATCTGGTCATGGCCTTGCCTTTGTAGTTTTTCCGGGTGTATTGGGGGATGGTTCTAGCTAGCCAAGGGTAATGACCAAATAAGGTTGTGGATTTATTAGCCAGAGGAAGTATAGACAGGACTCATCTGTATTTGGTCATGGCCTTGCCTTTATAGTTTTTTCCAGGTGTATTGGGGGGATGGTTTTAGGCAGCCAAGGGTAATAATACCTTTTTCTTATCTGAGTATGCCTATATGATATCTTAGTTTCTGTCTATTAATAAATTTTCTTGATACATGACTGATCACAAAAGCCTAAGCATCTATAGATTATGTATTTTTTAAGGGTGTTCAGTACCATGAAAACTTTGAAAAAAATAAGGTCTTCCAATACCTAGTTTCTAGTTTTCTTTTGTGGTTTTTTCTGTGTTATTGGGGTTGGGGCCTTGGGGGATGGTTCTATCCAGCCAAGGGCAATGATCCTTTTTCTTATCTGAATATGCCTATGTGATATCTGAATTTCTGTCTATTAGTAAATTTTCTTGATATGTGACCAATAAAAAAAGCCTAAACATCTATAGATTATGTATTTTAAGGGTGTGCTGGACCATGAAAGCTTTGAAAAAATAAGGTCATCCGGTATCTAGTTTCTAGATTTCCTTTTGTTTTGAATATGAAGGTCTATGGGTGCCTTATACTTCTTAGGCTTTTGAATGTCAATATCAAAGTGAAAACAGGAAGGTGTGGGTAGGGCTGTAATCTGATCAGATCCATATTGAACCCAGTGACATCCAAATCTGGTTATTAAAAATTTAAAACCTTATTCAATCCAATATTTGATTGGATCTAGGGGTCTTGGGTCAGATTCATATCCTATTGGAATTTGGATTTAATCCAAGTCTGCTTCATTATATTTGAAATAAAGGAAAAAATAAAAAATAAAATAACTTTTAATGTAAAATACTGAATTGATTAATTATAAACTTTTTATAATTATATCCTTGTATGTGTATGTCTACATACATATTTGATTAATATTATATAATATAGGGGCAACCCAGTCCACGAGGCTCTTGCCAATGCAGGGTCTGGGGAGGGACAGATGTACGCAGTCTTACCCCTGTACATTAGACCTGTTCATGGGCCGGGTGCCGGGCTCGGGCTTTCTCAAAAAAGCCTGACCTGAGCCTGAGCCTGAGCCTGAGCTTGAGCCCGACTTGATACTATATATTAAATAATAAAAAATATATTTTATTTAATAAAAATATATATACAATATTTTTTTCTTTGTTCTTTTTTTTCAAGTAATAGTGAGATGTTTATTATTTTTGAGTTTTGAAGGTTTTTAATATAAATAACACTTTTTTATTGAATAAAAAAAGAAAAAAAATTCTGTTTTCAAATTTCTGGCCGGGCTTAGGCTCAGGCTCAGGCTTCAGGCTTTATATGAGGGCTGGGCTCGGGCTGAAGACCTAGGCCCGACGGTCGGGCCGGCCTCGGGCTTGGGCCTGAATGTATTCTGTTGATACATATACAAAGCCCGGCCCGGCCCGGCCCATGAACAGGTCTACTGTACATACAGAGAGGCTGTTTCCAAGTTAATATTATATAATATAACATGATATTTAATCAGACTTGGTTCTTAATTAGATCGGATAGGGTCAATTTTTTTTTTGATAAATGCGGATAGGGTCAAATTTGAATCCAATCCGGTTATGTAAATGGATCATCCGAATCTGAAATAATCAAATTGGATTGGGCATGCTGGACTTTCGGACTCTGTATATCTGTTGACAGACCTAGGGTGGATTGAAGATTCTAAGAGCTGGTTTTTGGTTAACTTTTTTTGTGCATAGCATTGGAGTTTCTTAAGGGCCTTAATGCTTAACCACTTGGTCACTTTTCCTGTTGAATTATTTTTCCACATAGTTTTTGGAGTTTCTTCATATCACCTGCCTTAGTGCCTTATCCTACCCAAGTGGACAACTCTTGACTGCAACCACGTACCTCCTGCTGCTTTTTGGTATTGCGCAAATACATTTTAAAAACAGTAATGATGTATTGATGTATAAACCATAGTTGTAGTTGCAGTAAGTCAGTAACCAACCATTTGGTGCCTGGACTATGACTTTGTCTCAATTCTCCTTGCCAAATAACTTGTCCCTCTGGTGCTTGTATGCTGCTTTTATAGATTCCAGAATTTATGCTAATATTATGATTTTGCATATCACATTTATCACTAGATGGCCTTTGTTATTGATCAAAAAAAAAAAAAATTATCACTAAATGTAGTAACTCCATGTTCTTGCACAGAAGAAAGGAAATCACCTTCACAGCGTGCAACTTATGAATTTTTGAGAGGAAAAATATTGGATGTATTTCCTGATTACAAGAAAGAAGCAGAAGATCATCTGTCAAAAGCTGTATATTATTGATCCCTTCACACTTTACCTTTTTCTTAATATAATGATTCTGCAGTTATTGATAAAAAAATCATCTGTCAAAAGTTGTATGTTATTCCACAAACTTTGTGCTAGTAGTTTTAGTATATTGTATTGCTTGATTTGGGTCTTTTTTAAATTCATTATTCATTTTGCAGGTTAAGTTGAACCCATCTCTTTCAGATGCTTGGCTCTGCTTGGGTAATTGCATTTGGAAGAAGGGTGATCTGCCTGCAGCAAAGAACTGCTTTTCTTTAGCATTAACTAAGGTTTTTCTTTAATTGTTATTGATGCATCTAGCTTTTAGGATTTTAATCATGGTATGCTGTGGGCCCACATTTAAGTAATTTGACCCTGTCAAACTGCATGTGGATTCTTATTATTTATGTCATGCAGGGTCCAAACAAGAAGATACTTTGCCAGTTATCAATGCTTGAACGAAAAATGGCTCAAGGCAAGGAGATTTTCCAGTGCATATTTTACTTTAGTAATTAACTTTGTCCTCTTGGTGCATATGGAGAAGTTTTTTGTTTGGTTATTTGGACTTTGGCTTGTGGGGATCCTCAAGTCAAAAGACTTACCCAAATTGGTTAGGGTGCAACTCGGGTTGGGTTGGATTGGATTGGGAATTTGTCAAATTTTTGATGGGCCTGAACCCTAACCAGAATCCGGTAATTAAAATTCTTCAAATCAGACAACCTGGCCTGGCTTGCAGCCCTAAAATTGCTAGCAATGTTGAATTCATTTGAAAATCAATATCCATTCTGGCAGGAATATTGACCACTTCTGCAAATTGTTTCTCTAATTTCATGAAGTAACAGTTAAAAAGCAATTTTCCCCTTAACTAATAACACAATATTTCATTAGATATACTAAAAAGATGTACAAGAAGTGGAGGATGAGGTGGCCTCCAACAATTGTTCTGAGATCTATACAAAAATACGAAAAATAAGAAGATAAATATTTCCTTAATGTCTCATAGCTCTTCAAAATCCAATTTGAAGTAATTCTGGATCATATCTCTGAATTCTTTCTTCCCCCTACCTGAATCTATTAATTGGAAAATCTAATTCCCTTTTGAATTCTGAAAAATTCTTTCAATAGCTCCCATAGGACAGAATATGGGGTTATTGTCTGTAAGATTTGACCCTTTGCCTCAAAAGGGATTGAGGACCATGACTATATTAATTCATGGGTTGAGGGCTGATTCATTATGGAAGAACTAATGCCCTTGAAAATTCATTAAGTGGCTTTGAAACACCTCCAGAACTTATTGTTATTGCATTCCTTTAATAGCCCCTAAAAGATAGAAAATGGGGTTATCCTCCATAAGTTTCAAACAATTGCCTAAAAAGTGATTTAGAATCCTCCAATACTTGAATACCCAAACCTTTTCCAATAATTTGTATTGCAAAGTTGGTGCTTCGCATCATCCTCAGCTTCTTCACAGGCTGATTTTCACGGGGATCTTTCTGATGTACCACAGCGTATCAGTTGCATGTATAGATGCAATTTCTTTCTTCAAGCTAATGTTTCTTTTTGGCTCTTTTTCATTGTAGGCACTGAGAATCAGGCACAAATTGTTGAAGAAAGCATTCAACATGCAAAGGAAGCTATTGCATTGGATGTCAAGGATGGAAATTCTTGGTGTAACAATCCATATCCTTCTATTACACCATAAAATACAAGCTGTGTTTTTCTTAGTCTGGAAAGATGATGAACATCATAGTTGTTAAGGCACACAGGCTATACGTGATAGTGTGATAGTGGAGTGCCTAGTTTCTTCGGCAGGTACCTAGGTGACAGAATAACTAAATTCTAGGTTATTTCTCTAGTACTAGTCAGCATGCATGTAAGTTGTTGATTTTTTTTTCTCAAAATATGCAACTAAAGAAGGTTATAGTTTTATACTAACAGAAGTTTCTTTTGGATCATGTTATGCTAACAAAATTTTAAGACAGAGAGTAAGGAAAAGAGAAAAGAACAAGGTGCAGAGCCACTGCACTCTTATTTTTAATGTAAGGAGGAGAGAGAGTGAGAGGTGCGATGCCTAGTTAGGTGCTGAAAAAAGCAAGGTGTGAGCTTTATATATATAGTGATATTGCCTAGTCAGGTGCCTGGTCACCTTGAGAGATGCCTTGACAACTATGATGAACATGCAAGGTGTGAAAATTCAAAATATGCGCTTTGGAAGGTTCTAGAGTTGATAATGCCTTTTTGGTTTGGGATGGATGTGGAGTTGAACCCTGGGCCTGGATCCCACCATCAGCGTAACTATTAACCATCTTTCTTCCCCCCCCCCCGCCCCCCAAATCCATGTGTATTAGTAAGATGTGAGCTCTCAAGATTACTTCTCTTATTATAGTTAGGTTTCCTTCTCTTGAGGTGTATATATTCTTCGTTTTATATCTTTGTTAACATTGTTACATGTTCATGACAGACAACTTAGGAAATGCATGCCTCACAAGTTTTTTTGTGACTGGAGCATGGGATCACAACAAACTTTTGCATTCTTTGAAAGCTTATCAAAATGCTGTAAGTTAGCAGGCTTTTAAAGTCAAAAAGAGAACTGTAAAAAAGAACTGTCAACTTTTAGCTGAATCGAAGACCAGGAAAACAGCTTCCCCACAATCTTCTGCCAAACTTCCTCTTCTTGACAGCTTTTGTTTTGAAATATCCTTGAGTTTCTTTCTTGCCATATTGACCATAACACAGCACCTGGAATCAGATACCATAGAACTTTCCCTTTCTTGCTTAGGCCTTGTACCCTCCAGTTGTTGACAAAATCAGCCATTCATTCTGGGCAACAACTTCTGATTGCAAAAATTCTGAGAATCCTCACCCATATTTTGTGAGTGAAGCTGCAATGCAGTAACAGGTGGTCAACAGTCTCATTATCACTGTTGCACAAGACATCTTTTAGAATCAATCACCATACCCCTCCTAACCAGGTTGTCTCTAGTAGGAATCTTATTCAGGTAAGCAGCCCAAATAAAAAAAGATACCTTCGATGGAATGTGTTTGCACCATATTATATGCACAGGAAATTCCAGATCTTCTTCCTCTTGTCTCGGGCCAGTTTACCATAGAAAGATTTCACTGAGAACTGGCCTTTGCTATCTGCAACCCAAAACCTTTTGTCTGCTGCATTAGTGTCGATTTGAGTGTTGTACAACCTTTGAAGAAGCCTACTAAATGGTTTGATCTCCCAAATTCAAAGCCCTTCTGAAAAGAGGATTCCGGGCAAGCATCCCATTTTGAGACTGGACATATTTAGCTACTTTTGCCTCCTTGTTTGTTACAATTGCAAATAATTCTGGGAAATCATCCTTTAGCGTATTGTTATCACTCTAACGATCCAACCAGAAATTAATTCAGTACCCCTTCCCACTACAAATTTGATTTCCTTGCTGAAAGCATTATATCTTTTTTCAATTCCCTTCCAAACTGAACAACCATACGACTGATTTGCATCACTAGGGACCTAACCTTCACTTCTTGTACCATATTTTGCTTCAATTACTCTCCTCCACAAGCAGTCCCTTGGTTACCAAACCTCCAAAACCACTTGCCAAGTACGGCTAAATTCATTTCCTGAATTCTTCTAATTCCCAGCCCTCCATTTTTTTTTTTTTGTTTACACACCTTTCCCCAGTTAACTAAATGAATTTTCTTGCTCTCCTTCCACCCCATCCAAAAAACTCATTTTCCTCTCAATCTGATTTGCAACTCCAGCTGGAATTGGATATAAGGAAAACAAGAAAACAGGTAAGGATGAGAGGACATTCTTGATTAGAGTGACCTTACCTCCCTTTGATAGGTACCTCGATTTCCATCCAGCCAACCTCTTCTCAATCCTCTCCAAAATTGGATCCCTAATAGACTTGGAATTGCACTTAGCCCCTAAGGGCATTCCCAAATACTTTAATGGAAACTTACCAACTTTAAATCCCCAAGAATCAGCCAAGATTGCAGCTCTTGAACCTCTCCCACTGCCACTAGTTCACTTTTGTGAACATTCAAGTGAAGCCCTGAAACTAGGGGTGTCAACGGTATTCGAAAATCCGATTTCAAATTCGATATTCGACATAATCGAATCGAATTCGGATAATTCGAATATCTAATCAGTCGAATTCGGATATGTCCTGATTCGATTCGATAAATATCCGAATTCGATCTATTATTTAATTATTATATATAATATATAAAATATGTTATAATTTATATATAATAATTAAGTTATATAAATAATTTATATATTTATGTACTTTATATCAATAAAATATTTATTAATTATTAATTAATCAAATTCGCATCGAATCGGATATTCAAATATTTAATCGGATTCGAATTCGGATATTAATTTTTAATATCCGTTGGATATCGAATCGAATTCGGATATCAGATTTTCTAATCGGATTCGAATTCGGATATTGCATGGTCCGATTCGAATTTGGTCCGCTTACACCCCTACCTGAAACCACTTCAAACCGCCAGAGAATGGCCATTAAATTGTCAATTTGCTCCCTAGATGCATTGCAGAAAAAAACTGAGTCGTCTGCAAATTGTAATAGGGGGATCTCCAACCTGTTTTCTCCCACACATAAAAATAGCAAAGGAGATAAGGGGTCCCCCTCCCTTAAGCCCCTCGAGCTCCTAAAATGACCACAAGTCCTCCCATTCACCAAAACTAAGAAAGAGGTAATTGTTACACACACCTTCAACCAATTCCTCCACCTTGAACTGAAGTTCATTCTCCTTAAAATGTAATCCAAAAAATCCCAATTCACATGGTCATATGCTTTTTTTCAAAATCCATCTTGCATAGCAAACCTGCTCTCCCACTTTTAATCTGGGAATCAATCATCTCATTTGCAATTAAAACACCATCCACCATTTGTTTCCCCTCAACAAATGCACCTTGGGATTCTGAAATAACATACCCCATGACTGGTTTCATTCTCTTGGCTAAAACTTTTGAAAGAATTTTGCAAATACTCCCCAATAGAATCTTACCTAAATGACTCATTTTCTGTCTACAATTGTATAATATGGACCAAATCCTCCTTGTACATTATATCTATTTACTTCATCTAAATTCTTAACAACTGCCGAATTATAAATCATTTGACTATTTTAAATGATGATCAAAAACTTTTCTTTTAAATTGATATCAGAAGTTTGGTTATTTTTCTAAATCTTGATAATTTGCATCAGGAAAAAGATGAAAGTGTGAAGTCCAATCCAGATCTTTACTTCAACTGTGCCACTGTAAGTGTAAACAAAATTCCTTTTCTCTTTTCCCCCATCATTGAAATCTGACTTTTCCGGGGAATTGGTGCGTGGAAGTTCTAGAACAGAATCTCCTGAAGTAGATTTGTTGCTTTTATTGTTTTCTTTTCCTTTATGACTATTAAAGAATTGCTTGGATTTCAAACTTCCTGGGTCATTGCTGCATGGAATTGAGAATCTCTTCAAATGGTTTGATTCTTCAGTTAATAGGCCTCAGAATTATTTCGATCAAGAACATTGGTCTTTTCACCGAATCATCATTTCCTTTGGTCAATAGTATTGTGTCTTCCTTAGCAAAATTGAACAAGAATAGGACAGGTCGGCAGAGGGTGAGAGGAGGATGTGTTGGATTTGGTGGATTTCTTTCTTATTCATTACACTCTTAGTGAGGGATTACAAGCATACAAGTCCCTTATTGTTCTTTAGATTATCTTCATCATTGCTTTTGAAAAAAAGTGAAAAATAAAAATATATCAATAACAATTTGAGTCTTTTGCTTATGGGGTATGCTTCTTCTTCCTGGTAATACAAATATTTCCCTATTTGAGAATGTGGTGGACTTTCAAACCCGGATGCTGCCAGTTGGGGCTACAGAAACCTCCTCAAACAAGTGAAGCGGCAAACTAGTAATATGAGAGTTGGTTTTAAATGGGCAAGCAGGTCGGCAAATACTATGGTTGAGAAGGTCTTTTTTGTGCTACTTTGTAACTTGTTCTAGTGAGTTTGGAAAGCTGTAATTAACTATTATGGAGAGGTTGCATCTCGTGCCTCTCCTTGGGAAGCTTGTACTTTCTTATTTTTGGTGATTTATAAAATTCGTTCAATTATCAAAAAAAAGTTGTGGAGTTATGTTCTTTTATGGATTGTGAGCTTGTTGTATTGGGATGTATTTGTATTTTTTCCTATTGTTTCTGGTCATGTATATGCCACTTGTTCCCTGCTATCTGATTACTTTGTTAATGATCAAAAACATAAAATAAGATAAAAGGTTTTCACAAGTTGTGTTCATTCAATCCACAAGTTGTGCAATTGATCTCCCATTAGGTTCTAGATTTTTTTTTTTTTTTTTTATAAGTAAAGATGTATTGCATTAAATGGAGGAAGAGATTCCTCCAAAGAAGCTTAAAAATTTTATGTCAGTATCCAACTCCACATTATGCTTTTACTCTTCTTCCATGTCTAAAATGAGGGTTCTTTACTTCATTTAGGAGACCTTGGGGTTTTTCAACAAAGAGAACTCTTTGCACCTAATTTATCATCTTCTACTGACACTCCCTCCATTACCCCTTACCTAGTGCCACTAATCTCCTCACTGTCCTATCTTATTCCAAGAATTTTCCAGCAAGTGTATGATAAGGAGTTAAAAATGAATAGCAAGAGCTTAAAAAACTAATTCATCTTTTTGATTTGTTTCCATCTATGTTACCCAGATAGGGCAAGGGCATACCTGGATATATTGTTGGATACAGAATCTACACTCAAAATTGCAAGTATCCAACACAATACATCACCTATGATCTTTGTACAGGTATATAGGTTTCTAGTTTATCTATTTACCATTGGAAAAAATACAAAATAATTAAATGCCAAACTAGTTTCCATTGGTATTTGTGCAATAAGTCTTGAACAATCTAAATGCTAGATTCTTGTAATATCAACCTCATTGATACATAAATCTGTTGTTGGTAGGAGTTATACTTTTGAGTTTAGTTTATAACTTCCCTTTATTTTTGTTTTCCCTCTTGTTTCTATTACCAATAATGCTTGGATATCTAATTATCCTTAGTTTTGTTCTTTTCCTGGCTTACTTTCTATTCTTAATTCTGCTTCGGGTACATATTACTTGACCAACTTTATATTTACATACACTAGGCCATAAAGTTATTTGATGGAATTCTTAATTTTAGGTAAACAAATATTTAGAGAACTATGAAAGGGCCCTTACTGGATTTGAAGCTGCTGCTTTGAAGGATCCTGGCCTCAATGCTACTGAGGAGGTTCAAAAGATGATCAACCTTCTTGATAAGGTGGAGAGTTCTCTGAAGGTAGTGCATTTCTTTCTCTATTTTATAGGACATTCTCATAATTTCTAAATCAAATATTCATTTTTTTAATCATTAGAATAGTTTATTTCATTACTTTCAATTAGAACATACTACAAAATGTTTCTGTTGCGTAGAACTCAACCCCTTCAGAATTTGGGAGAAACCCCAATTACAAGTCTTCCCAAAAAAGTTGTTCCCTATGCACCCCTTGTTTTGCCGAAGTGTCAGCTATCCTATTTGCTGTTCTTTCTACCCATCTAAAAGTTACCTCTAACTCCTTTGCTTTTTCATGATCTCTCTTACACTATGCTGGTGGATCCACATACCTGGCATGCTGTCATCCATCCAAGAAATTACCAGTTTTGAGTCCTCCTCAGCCTCCGCATGCTGAAAGCCCCGTTATTTTTCTATCTTGATTCCTTGTAGTGAAGCTAGCACTTCATCTCTTGAGGAGTCCCCCACTCCAATCAGTTCAAAGAATAGTGCCACCACCTTTCCTCTTGCATCCCTGAATACACCTCCAAATCCTGACATTCCAGGGTTAACCATGGAGCTTCCATCAAAATTCATCTTGATTCTATTTATTATTTAGAGGGGGATTCCGTTCCATTTTTATTTTGTCTTTCAGTGGAGGAGCTTGTTCCCTCATTCCAAACTCAGGATATCATCCAATGAAACCACCTGGAATGCTTCCAATGTTATTAGGGAATGAGGAGCATTTACCTTTATACCCTCTACAATATTATCTTAAGATTCTGCACCTTTCCTTGAAAATTCATTCATTTCTTTCTTCCCAGATTGTCCAAATAGTGTTGACTGCCTTCTATAATAATCTCCCCCTTTTTTGGTTGTCTGAAGAAACTTGGGCTAAACAGAGTAGGAATGTCTTGTGGAGGGTCCCACCTGTATCCAAATAGGCTAAATCAAATATTCATTTCCATATTCTTGTTACTATTTCAGTCATATACTCATGTATTCTACCTTTTTTTTCCCTGATTGATGACTGAAAGACCTTGGTTGAGTATTCATCTCGGGCCTAACTGGCCAAGTGGGAGATGTTGGTAGAGTGGGCATAGGCCCTCGTTTAATCCTCAACATGTTGGAATATCCATTGGCCATGTGACAAGCCACATGTTGATGGAAGATGATTATTTTATGGTTATCTCCATGCAACACTCTTACACACAATCATTCATTTTAAATTATTACCTATTTATTTATTTTCTATAAAAATAAATTTATTTGATTGTTTATTTGAAAATGCTTTTATGCATGGAGAATATTGTTGGATTATTCTGGATCCAAATTCCAGCTCTTATTGGGTCAATGGATATCCATTATAGGATGGAAAAGTAGAATCATTGGTGATGTAACCGTTTTTGGTCACGTACCATTTTTTGTGATGTATAAATTTTTTGGCTAAGTACCTCGTTGTTTGACCCAGTGGTGACGTGCCTTGGTGATGAGCTACTTGGTGGCGAACTCCCTGGGGGAGAACTACTTGGTGACGAACTGCTTGGTGGCGAACTACCCAGTGGCG